TTTATGAAAGAAGAACTTATATATGTGAATATAAATATACTTTAGTACCTATCCCAAGGTATATTAGAATAAAATACTTGCTCTAGATCTGTTAATTTTATTCATATTATTAATAAAATAGCTAAGGCTAAAAAGTATGTAAAGAAGCATGATGAAAAATATCTTGATAAAACTAATTATATAAATGATCTAAATATATATCTTTGATCATGTGAAAATAGACTCTATCAATAGGAAGTATCTTATAAAATCCAGAAGTAAAAATTCAAATGATATTTAGTTTATTTTTATCATATTAATAAGTATTACTGTAAATATATTTTCAAAGATTTGTTAGGTAAGAAATTTTTATCTTGTAAACTGTCATTTTTGAATAGGATATAATTAGATGGATATAATAAAGAATTAAAATTGATATATGAATTTCAAAGATCTCAATATTTTTCTGAGAATCTAATATTCTATAAGCAAGGCAAGATAGACTTAGATGAGCAAAGAAAGTGTGATGAAAAAAAGCAGAAAATATGTAAAAGAGAGGATATAAATCTCATTATAATTCTCTATAGTTATAATTTATTATTATATATAAAAAGTGAATTGTAAAAGAAAGATTATTTATTATATAAAGAATAAATATTACTTATCTTGATTAGAATAAAAGATAAAGACATGTCTATATATGTATATAATATTAATGAGATATCTAAAAAGTTATCAAAATGAATGAAAGATAATAAGTATTTACCAGATTATCTATTTAGAATGCTTATAAATAGAAGCTCAAATAATGGAAAAACTAATATGAGAATAAATTTTAATGGAAAAAAAAGTAATTGGTATATTAGAAAAGATGATTTTAAATTAATAGTCAAATATTTTGAATCAAAATGGCAACTTATATAAAATAGGTATTGAATCTTTATAAATACTCTAAAATTATATTAAAAAAATATTATATTTAAATAGATATTATTAGATAAGATTCCAGATATAACTAAATTTTTTCTGGAATGAAGTATAGTTATTATTTTTGAGAATCTACATGTTAAACTTAAAAAAATGCAAGAATGAATTATTTCTTACTTCATTAGTAGTTAATATCAAAATATCTTATCTATATATGTAAGCCAGAAATATATTCAAACTCCTAAAATTATCTGTGAAAATATCTCATATTTATATCTATTTCAGAGATTAGATAGTAAATATGATATTAATAGAATTATATATCAATATACAGATGATCTAAAAAAGATATTCAAGATTATTAATAAGTATTTATAGAATTGAGAATTCATGATTTTTGATTTTACTAAGACAGTAGATGATCCTTTAAGCATATAGCTTGATTGGGATATATCTTTAAAATTAGATGAATAAAGTGTGATATCCTATTTTCTCTTAACTTCATCACTCAAAACCAGATATTATAATTAATAATATATTATTTTTAATTAATTAATTATATATCTTTTTTTGAATTTGAGAAAAAAAAGGAAATAAATATGGCCTATCCTCTTATTATTCCAGAATTACTCAAAAATATATTCAGTATCTTAGCCAAGAATAAAGTGCTTTATCCTATTTTATTTGTCAATTATCTTTAATATCATTGTAATACTCCAATTCTATAAAGATATATTAAGTTTTTTATAAAATATTATCAGCAGAATTAATATAATAAAAATATATCTGGATTTTTTTATTGGCAATTAAGAAAATTTAAAAGAGTTATATATGAAAAGACAAAATCTTTCTATTACTCAAAAATGATATATCTCAAATTGATAAATTTAAAAATCTCAGATATATTACTTAATGAAATTTTGTGCTCATACTTAAATATAAACTTTCTTATTCTTGATTGAAGTTATGATTTTAGTAATATATTAATTATAAAAATTATAAAATATTGTCCAAAGCTATTACATCTGAGTTTTGATATATATATATAGCTATTACTAATAGATATGTTAGTGAAATAACATAATTTTATCCAAATTTAAAATACATAAGTCTCACTTCTTTATATAGAGATAGTAATATTTCTAGTATATCTGTGATTGAAATAGCATAATCTTATTCTAATTCAGTATATTTAAATCTCAATAAATAATCTTCTATTAATAATGAATCAATTTATACAATTACATACTTATATATAAATCTTCAACATCTAGATTTGTTATTCAATAAAATAATTATGAATAAAACTATAAGTATAATTGTAACTGGCTATCTAAATATGTGAAATTATTTTCTCAAAGATTATGAATGGATAATTGATAAATCAATCAAAAAAATTGCATAGTTAAATCAAAACTTGCAAAAGCTTATTCTCACTTCCTATTACAAAATTACAGATGATGCTATATGTAATATAGTCAATTCATGTTCAAATATTCAGAATCTTAGTTTTTAATATATTTATATCACTGATAAAATGATATATGAAATTGCATATCACTATTCAAATTTATTAGTTCTCAATGTAAAGAAATGCTCATTTATTTCTGATGAATCAATCTATTATTTATTAAGCAAAAAACCAGTACTAGAGCTAATATTGAATTAAGTTTCATGATCCATATAGGTTAGGATAAAATCATATTTATATAGTTAGTTTGATAATTAAATATTTTTTCAGTTGTAATTTTATTCTATTAATATTAATATATTCTATCTGCCACTTATATTTTTGAGCTAACTGAATTCTGTCATATTTGAAGTTAGAGTGAATGTGTAATAATAACAAGTATAATATATTATCATTATTAGGAATTTTTGTGTAATACATATTATTGTGATATGAACTTTTAATAGATCTTAGTTAATTATATATTATTAATCATTTCATATTATAATATGATTGAATGAATAATTCTTTATATTTTATTAGATATTAACTTTAGAAAATATTATTTATAGATATTTTTAGAAGATTTCACAAATATAATGAACATGGCAAAATTATCATAGCAAAGTTAGCAAAATTATCATAGCAAAACTAATAATACTATCATAACAAAACTAATATTATGATATTAGCTAAAGTAATATTTAGATCATAGCAAAACTAATATAAATATCATAATAAAAGTATCATTTATATAATCTTTAAAATATATAAAAGTGATGTATCTTAGCTAGTAAATTTAGATAGTCAAGTAGTTCAAGTCAATTAGTTAATTATTTAGTTTGAGTTTTATAAGTTTAATTCTCAATTCATATTTTAAAAGTAGATTATAGTTTTAAGAGAATTCTAAGAAATCTTTCTTATAGAATAGATCTTGATTAAGATTTATTATTTTATCTTGTTAATAAATTAAATATTATATTTGTCTTGAAAATTACAATTTGAAATTGGATTATATTCTAGCTAGTCATAATAAAAATACTATCATTACCTATCTCTAGATAAATCTTAAAATAATAATAAAAATATTCTTGTCAATAAATCTTTTAAAGACTCTCTCAAATATCATTTTAAGTACATGATCACTTTTATCACATGCTTTTATAATATTAGATTTAATACTTGCTCTCATTTTAAAACTTGCATTAAAAAGATAATATTAATATAGAAAAATCAAGAAAAAAAATCCTTTTTTCTCATATTTGAAAAAAGATATGTATCATTATCTATTATATGTAACATATTTTGCATCTACTTTTCTAATTTTGACGTAAGTTAGCATGAAGTGCCAAGTGATAGAGTCATGAGAAGGCGGGATATATTGATCACCTTTACTGTGAGATATAGTGGAGCTAGTGTCTGAGACACAGTTTTCAAGCTACAGATATAAAAACATGCATTGTCTAGGGTTAACTTTGCAGGTTCGTCCTTAACAGTTAATGTTTGCTATAGGTCGATCTTATACCGCAAATTCAGAAATTCATTTTCTTCCTGACATACATCAGAATTTAAAGCATTATGACCCTTTAGGGTCACCCCTTCGGGCCTGCGAAACAATGGGGCTTTGCCCCTATCAGATATATCAGATGTCGAGACATTATTGGGCTTATCAAAATTTGAAACATTATGACCCTTTAGGGTTGCCCCTTCGGGCCTGCAAAGCAATGGGGTGGAGTCTCTATCAGATGCCGGAGCATTCTTATTTTGTATGATAGTCTGTTCATGAACACCGTTAACCGGAGATTGTAAAACATTAGTAATACTTTTTTCTCCTTGCTCTAGCTTCGTGATTCTGGCTTCATGGCTTTCTAAAGATTGTCTTAATTCTGCATTCTCACGCTTAACTTTAGCATTCTCGTTTCTAAGTTCTGTATTCTCCGCCTGAAGCTTGGAATTCAATTCCTCTAATAATTTAATTTTGGATTGCGTATTTGCCATTTTTATATAAAATACAAATATGTTTAATTATATTAGTGAATAAAAAAATCATAACGCGCGTTCTTTTTCGGAACGCCGATCACTTTTGCCAAGAAAAAAATAATCACGACTATATATAAGTATGACTTTGCAATCGAAGTCCAAGGTATACGACATGAAAAATATCATGAATTCTTTCATAAAGGTGATCTAATAATTTTATCAAACAGCAAGAACGGGATCAACTCAAAAAAGAATTATGCGAAGAGAATTTGATTGCATTAAGGTATGTTTGGCATTACGAAGACCCATATATAGTTATTCCTAAGCATCTTCGTCTTATTGAATAAACTGTGCGATTTTTTAATTTTGATCTAAGCAAGCCGGAGGGTGATCCTCTTGCAATTCGGCCAAGATTTGAACAGCGGAAGCGTAATACAAAAAATGCCCCGGCTCATAATTGGGTCAGGAAAAATCACGCTTACCACTGCTGATATTACATTTACCATTCAAAAATTCTGGTGCATACTTTGGACGGAAATGATTATTTTGCTAGTGAAAGTCTTTATTATTTTTTCAGAAGTAAATACACAAATAACCGCGTGATAAGCTATGAATTTAAAAAAATATACAATCTAGCACCTCTCTAAATATGAATTTTTGTTTGCTATTTGTTGTCGGTGACTTTTGCTTTATTGCTTTTCGGGGTCCACCACGGTTTACGAATATATTCCGACTTATAATGGGTGGGTCGACTCGTGTCAAGCTCATCACTATCGAAAATATCATCAAACGCATTATTCCTACTTTCTTTGGTCTCCACGATTTCACCTATCTTCTCATACATATCCTGTGTTATGTTAAAATGGATTAATGATACAAATACTTCAGATGTTGAATGAATAGGAACGTAAGTTTACCATGACAAACTTGATAATGTTTACAGAGGATTTCAGCTTTCCAATATGTTGAAGCTTCGTGGGAAGCTCAAACTTTGGACCCGGAAAGACAACATAGAAACCCTCAATCAAATCCTCAATTAACATCTGCCCATTCGTACCCGCAATCTGTAAAAAGGGAACATTGATTTTCTTAACCTGTTCATTGGTCAGGTTGCGATTCAACAGACCATTTAATATCGATTGATTAATACGAGCTGATCGACAACGGTCGCCAATTGCCTTTTGTGGTGTTGCATTTGACGCGAACTCCCATTCTCCAAGGTCTACTCCTGATTGTGACAAGAAGCGCACATCACACTTGCGACCATTTTTATAGTCCGTGTTTCTTCTCAATGGGCAGAATGACTCTCCCCTTATTTTAATATAACATAAGTAATTTGTGAGAATGGAATACAAAACAATCAAATCTCATTTATACCAACCATCTTTGTTTTACTACCAGACTCTTTCTCAGTCCTTCAACAATATATGAACATGCTTTTAGTATTATGTCAATCTCAGTGTGTGCAGAATCCTACATATCGCCGTCCTCACTTCTGTAAATACTATAAACATCAAAATTATCAGAATTGAACCACAAAAAAATAAAGAATCAAAGAAATTTATAGTAGAATAAAATACTAACAAATCTAAGTATACTTTACTAATCTTTCGCATGTAGCTGTTCGCCTCGGAGCTAATAAATTTTCTAGCGCAAAATTCGTATGCTTCGTTTATTCTTTTTTCGAGAACCATCTGTATAAGAAAAACTAATCAACATGTATATTTGTGTGTACAAAACAAGCAAATTAAAACAATGCATGTACATTTTCGATAGTTGTGACAAAGGAAGTTTCTTCGTCTTTCAGGCAGGGAACTTGTAATAAAGACATGTAATCCTTCATCATAAATCTTCTATCTTCGAGAGAAAACCATTGTTTCATATGAGCCGATAGATCGATTATTTGTGATAAACCATAGCGTAATACAGCTTTTTCTATAGCTGATAATTTCTTTTTCTTTTTCGTTGCCTCCGCATTTTCAGATATTTTCTTAGCGAAAATATCGCCAACATTTAGATTCGAGGGCAAGATCCAGCTACTTTGATTGTTAAGAATGAGATCGAGAGTTTCTTCTGGGGAAGGGAAACCTTCTTCGTCATCGTTATCATCATTATACTCTTCAGTGGAATCATCATTATCCGACGGTAGCAGATTCAGGGGAGTCGCCTTCTCAATTTTTGCACCACCAGGCAATGTGTCCTCCTAAAAAATTGAATCGATTGCCTTCTGTCTGTGAAAAGCGGTTTTTTTTTTTGCGGACAATATTTAAGTTATATACCGACCCTTTTTCTTGTTGACTTCCTTTTTGGTGGTTTAGTTGTCTTTTCACTTGAGGACAAGATCGATGGATGATGCATTTGGTGTTCGGGAGTATGTGATAGTTCATAATCTACTTGGTGACATCGACGTTTGCTCGAACAATCTTCAAGATCCGTATCTTCCAAACATTTCGCAAATTTACTTCGCACAATTAGCCCTTGTTTTGTAATCTCATCGCGTAATATCCGTTCTTGTTCGAATGTCGAGGAAACAACGTCAGTGATATGTTCTTCCTGAAAACAACAAAAATATATTAAGGATTATCTCGTCACGTGCATCTTCATAATATTTCATACCGTCAGAGCCATGCGTTCAGCTACTGAAGCAAATTTCCGTTTTTGTGACGAAGTAATGCTTTTCCAGATTCTTTAACCAGCTGTGATTTCTTTTCGGTCTATTAAATGATGCGGTTATTAGTAATATCCAAAAGAAAAACAAAAACAGTATTCTGGAAAATTAACTAGAGTCAGGACGGAACCACCGCGAACCGTAGCTCATCACTACCCGATCTTAGTCAGGAAATGTGGGTGGTTGAACGCAGGTCGGGCCCCATCCAAAGAACTATTGTCCCTTAGACCCATCCACTGACAACCAGAAAGAAAATTCATAGACAGGGTGGAACCACCACAAACCGTAGCTCATCACTACCCGATCTTAGTCAGGAAGTGTGGGTGGTTGAACGCAGGTCGGACCCCATCTAAAGGATTATTTTCCTTTAGACCCACCCACTGCCATACAAAAATTAAAAAAAAACTTAACTTGAAAAGTAACAAGCGCATTTCCAGCCTTTTTTATTGTAGCCTCGCTTGCCTCTTTCATATTCAGTATAGTTGAGAGGCCTCGAGTGTACAGGGAGTGTTCTCTATGCTTGTCTAACTGGAAATCAGCACATTTTTGGCGGTATAATAGATATTCCGGCAAAGACCATTCGTTCTTTAAAGTGAAATACTTGTCTATTTCAAGAGTAGAGGTAGCTAGTTCTGACATAGTTTAGTATAAATGGAAAACGAAAAGAATGACATATGGGCGCGTTTGATTCAACCCTCAAATCTGATTCTGATCCCTGATTTGAGCCAATTACGATTGAGGATCAGAATGAATTTTTGAAAACAAAGTTTAAACGTAAATATTAACAAATTGATTCTATTAATTAATATTGTAATCATAATTAAAAAAGGTAGAAAAGTAAACTTTCTATCTATTTATTTAATAAAATATTTAAAGTTTTTGTATTGAGCCTAAATTATTCCCAATATATTGAGCTCGCTAATGGGACTGTATATTTCTGTATCGGATGTATTATCGATTTTCAAGCCTACTATTTTTGCTATACTCTCGCCTATAATATTACAATTAGCACCGGTATCTAGTATAGTTTTAACTGGTACTTTGTTAATTTTGCAAGATAAAATTCTCATCGTGACAGTTTATTATAACAATATATTTAATTCTGCATTTTAAATTTGTATTAATAAATAATAATTTCGCATTTACAATGACTGAAGCTGATAGCAATATTGGGCCGGCTCATCAGAATTTACAAGAGAATGATGATAAGATTGGATCGCCAATAGAATCAGTGAAAAAACTATCAATATTGATCAATGGTAGGGATACAGAAGTATTTTGTGATTCGGGTTCAGAATGTCCAATTATACCTTATGAGATTGCAAAAAAATTGGGTTTCGTGAAAGATAAAAGTTTATCCAATAGCGAAGCTAGTGCCAAGGCACATATTACTGATAAAGCAGTATCTGGTATTGTTAAACAGATATCACATAGAAGAATTTTGATTTCTCTTCACCAATTACTAGAAATAATAAAATCCAAGATTGGGCTAGAGATTATTGACTTAATAGCAAATCCAGATATTTCTTGAAAAAATCATACACCATCAGAAAATGCAAAGCTAGAAAAAAACTAATTTTTAATGATACAACATCTGAGTTCTCATCCTTATCTGGATCTAGTTCTGAATCATCTAATAATGATGAAGATTTTATTGTAGATGTGGTAAAAGTAAAGCATGATTAATCTTGATCATAAATATGAAATGGTTTTGCTTGCTCATAAGAAACTCCTCTTTTTTTATAATTGACTACAATGTAATTTTGCACAAGAGAAGTATAGTTATTGATTGAATGACATAGATATTCTCTAGCAATTATATAAGTATGGGTTATATTCTTAGTCTCATATACTATCACATTATAAATAGTACCTATTTTTCATAAATATTTAAAAATTAAATTATAATTTTTTAAGAATCTATTAAACTATTTAACTTTTGACTTATCTAGATCACTTATTTGGCCAGAAGATATTGCATATTGAATTTAAGTAAGTAATTCTCTGACTCTTTCTTGATTCTTTTTCATAGATCTAAATTTTCTAGAAATGTCTGACTGATCTTAATTCTTCATATAATCTGTTATTTCAGCATCTGTAATGTATAAAGTTTTAAGTTCAGCAGAATGAATACAAAGCATTATCATAATATTAGCAAGAATCTGATAATTAGATAAAGTTTTAATATCATATATATCTAATCTTTCTTTAACTAATTCTAATATAAATTCATCTGAATAATTGATATATTTAGCTTCAGTCTTTTTCCAATTGACACTCTGAATTTTGTTGACATCTTCTGTAATATCTGGAAATTTAATAGTCTTAATTATTTCAAGTGATGCATTAAGATTTCTTAATTCTTTACAAAGACAAGTAAGATATGATGAGCCAGTATTAGTATTTTTTGCTGATAGAGCTAAGGTATAAGTTTCAACTTTTACATCTCTAATACTAAATTTATCTTATAAAATCCATTATGCCATATTTCTAATAATTTTTTCCTTTAAGTATTTTGAGAGTTTGTTAGTGATAGTAATATTTACAATTTTATTTTCATTTTTCTGAATTGAGAATAAGGTATTCACTTAACTCTTACTAAATTCATATCTATTTTGCAAGATTCATTTTGCTATCTCTCTAATAATCTCTTCTTTTAGATTTTTTGAAGATGATGCTAGAACTATTCTATAATTATCTTTAATAATATTTATAATTTTATTTTTCCCACTCCTCTGATTAGATATCAATACATTTACCTATTCACTGCTAAATTTAAAATCATCCTGAAGATATCTGCATGCCTGATTTTATTTTCTATCATCAGTAAGATTCTCAAGAAATTCTAAGGTATATTTGCTGAGATTAAACATACCTATCTTGGAACTAAGATTATATTTTTCAATAATTTTAGTTATGATAGCTAATATGATTAAATGTTATAATAGATTGAATAGTTTATAAATAATTTTTTAGATTATATATATTATAAAAAATATTTTTTCAAATCAAAATTAATTATTATGAGTTGATATATATATTCAAAAATTGAATAGGTGATAATTAATATAATTCTATTGAGAAATGGACATAAATAAGATATAGAATAGATTAAAAGTTTTAGAATTTATAGCTCTACATAGTAAAATAACTAAAAATATAAAAGATATCAAAAAAAATATAGTATAGTTTTAGGAAAAATAATTGATATATATTAGGTATATGATACATATCTGTCAATTTGAAATTTAATAATACATAGATATAATGAAAAAAATTTATAGCTTTGAGATAGGAGTCCAGACTATGATAATGCTTAACAGTATTTTATTTTTATTTCTTAATATAATTTTTAAATAATGATGAAGGAATCAAGAGTCTTATTTCTTCCTAATGCATATATCTATCATGTATCAATTTATTATATGTTGATTTACTAATTGCAATCATATAATTTGTTTTGAAGTTATAAATTTTTGGCTTTCTCTAATAATTAGTTAATTTTGATAATTGCTTAGCAGTAATCATTTCTTTGTTATATTTTGACTCTTTAGTATATAATTTATATATTTTTGTATAGTATTAGTATAGTATATAGTGTCAATATATGTTTAATTATAATATTATAAAATAATTTAGAAAAATTTAAATTAATTTTTATATACTATATATGAAAATGTAAGTAAAAAATATATTAGTATTTATATAGAATTTTATGAAATATGAGAGATTATAAGCAATATTTCAAATAGTATCTCTAACACATAATATATTATTATAATCTGAAAAGATTTAAATTAGTTTTATATTAAATATATTTATATAAAAAGTAAAATAAATTTTATACATTATATATTAAAATACTTTGAATGGAATATTTAATTAATTAATATGTTAAAAAAGATAGTTTGAGATATTTAACCTATTCATATATTAAAAAAGATAGTTCAATTTGTGAAAAAGGTTGTTGACAGGACATAGAATGTTTGTTATACTGGAAATTATATAATACAAATATAGCAAAATTTTTTTATAAATCTGTAAAAAACTAATAATTTCTGAAATGAGATATTATCCTAAGCATACAAAGAGAATTTATTTTTAAAATTGATATGAGAGATAAAAAGTGCAGAGAATAGAAGTGGATGAATAATTATATAGATTCTAATTTTAAGTATCACAAAAATGATCTTTATAATAGAATTTTTTTACAAGTATCAATTTTAAGTATCACAAAAACTCTCTTTATAAATGTGAAATATTCTTCTTTCAGGAGAGATATATCATAAACCCTTATTAAATATATATATTAATAGATATCAAATAGGTCCTGAGTATCTTGTAAGATAGAATTAGAAGAGTTTTCTATTTCATCAGGTAAGAATTTACTATATCCATAACATATATTCTCACTATTTTTATAGAATTATCCTTTATCCATTTGATATGGTGATAACTTTGGAGTATGCAGACTATCAAATAGTCTAACTAGAAGATAATGATTATTTTTCTTATTACTTGCTTTAAGTTTTATCTCATAAGTTACAAAAAGTACTGAATTTAATAAATCAAGTTTTGCTTTATCAGATTTTAAATTAGATTTTTTAGTATTGTAAATTATGTCTATATTATCAAAAACTTGAGCTATTTTCAGTACTAAATTCTAAAGGTATTCTATTGATTCTGACAAGTTTAAGTATATTTTAATCTTATATACTTTATATTTATTTTTATTATTAATATTTTTAATAGATATATAAGTCTTTAGTAATTCCAGATAAATTTGATATTTTTCTAATTGGGTTACAGTAATGAATCTATTATTTTTATAATTTTCATAGGTAATAGCCTTAACTATTATCTCATTATTAGTACCTGTGTCTCATTATTAGTACCTGTATCTCATAATTTCTGAAGATTTCTAAATCACTTTATTTCATCATATTTATCATAATCTGTAATAAATTTTTTTATTAAAGATTTAGGTAATATTCCATAATAATCTGCAATATGATACTGGCTTAATACATATATTTCCTCTAAAGTTTTCTTTAGCTTGTTTTTTAAATGTTCAGTTATCTCATAATTGAGAATATTGATATTGGTAATATCTGAAATTCCTTTGCTTTAATAGATGAAGAATACCTCTTTACTATTTTAGTTAATATTATGATATCATCTTTAGCTTTTAGAATGATTTTTATTATAAAAACTACTATATCTATCTTTTTAAGAAAATTTATTATTCTTCATCCAAATAAATGATAAGATCAGAATTTTTTCAATATGTAAATAATCTATAATTAAACTGTTAAGATATCTTTATTTCAAATAATAGATTCTACATCTGAAAATATTTCTTTATTCTGAAGTTCTTGAAAAAGAGATTCATATTTAGCTTTTAATAATCAGTAAAATAACTTTTTTTCAATAATTGAGAGATTTGATAATTTTTATTTGATGTGATATATGTATTCTTTAATATATCTTATACAGAATAGTATCTAATTTGTTCTTACATTTATTTCTATATAACTTTTAAAAAGACAAAATACATATTTAAACTTAGAGTTAATATATGAGACTCCTATTTTTAATATACTTGTATATATAATAAGATCTATATCCTTCTACATCTC